GTGGTTTGAGAAGAGAAGGGTTGAAATAAAAAATACTATTACGTATAAAAGAATAAGAACTATTCAATTCAATCATGGTGGTGTTTTGAACGTAATTCGATCGCATTCCCATACATGCACATGCAAGTTTTAACAATTTAAGTCACGTATTTTTGTGGAAAATGGTTTCATTTCATTTCTTTTCAGAATGTCAAATATTAAATGCAAGTTTTATAATTCCACATGATATATGGTATGAAATGTGTTTTGGTTTTCATGTTTTTCTAGAACGTGGATTGTGAGATCTTTTTTTATGAGATATAGGTCGAACCATTGTAATATTTCTGAAAACATAATGTTGAATTGCATTCATTTCCAATCATATGGTTTAGCGTTGATATTTTTGTTTCTTTCTTATCGGCAATTTGCTCCAGTTGACTAACTAAATTAGCTTATTATTGGTTATACTTCGACAGTTTCCATTTATTTGTATCGAGTCGGAGCGTAAAAGTCAGAGTATTATTATATGTATAATGACCTTAAAAATGAAATGAATGGAGTTTTACTTCCTACGGTATTATGGTCTTAAGGCGGTGTTATAACTGAATGTTATGTTGAATTTGTTTATGATGGGACTTTTGGAGAAAATAAAGTTTTAATAACAATGATTATTGCCTCTTTTGATTTAAATGTTAAAACCAAAATACTTCACTGCCGTAAAAATATGATTATATATCATTGGCCTATTTGTTTGTTCAAATTGAACCCTTGACCTTTATATAAGTAAGCATTGAGCGACTGTGACCCCTTGTCAGATTTTGTTTTGCACGTATAGTCATGTTCCATTTCGGCATGTGCGTTAAGATTTTATATTCTCATCAGGGCAAAATGAAATGAATGGAGTTTTACGTCCTACTCCTGCACCATTTGGGCTAATGAAGACGGGCGACGCCATGCAGGGTGCCATGGGGGAAATTTTACCAGGACAGCGGCATTAGCCTGCTCTTTTTCGATTTCCAACTGTCGAGGGATCTTTAACGTGCACAGCCTGTAGCACGCGGGGCCTCGATTTATTGTCCCATCTGAATGACTAGACGCTTTTTCCATGTCAACCCCTCTTACCTGCATCACTGACAGGGGGAAACCGGGTTGAAAAATCCGAAGGTATTATCTCGACCTATGCCGGGATTGAACCCTGGACCTTCAGTTTAGCGAGCAAGCGTCTAATTCACTGAGCCACCGCGGCTCCCCTGAAGATAATATTGAAAGCTAACTCAACTAGGACGAGAAGAAAGCAAAAACTCGAATCTCCAGTTGAATTTCTCAATTTAAATCTAATTGGCTAGAACTCGTATATTATTACCAGATACGAGATATCTAACCTATTTATGAGATTTCCGCCCGAAAAAATTGCTTTCGGGGCTGCCAAAGGGGAGGGGGGGGGGGGGTGTTAATGACCCTCCGCCAATTCAAGTTTAGTAGTATTGACAGGTCTATAGATGAGGTTTGGGTGCGATGTGGACATGATTGGTTATTTCGATTTACTATATCGATATTCCAGCACAGTACAACACACAAGACACAATGACTCGCTTATCCACCGTCACCTAATTTGACTCAACAATAAAATCTTGCGTTATAAGTGTTTTGACAATGACACGGTGTCTATTGTTGTTATTGACAGATATTGTAGTAGCTCTAGAATATTAAGAGAAGTTGGACATTGTCAATAAGTCAAGTCAAGTTTTATATCAGACAATAACACTATTAAGAATAACTATGACAACTGTTCTGAGCAGGCCATGGCGTGATATAGTTTAATCCCTCACGTTTGAACACAAAGATTACTTTTTTCGCATATTTATTTGAATAGGGTTGTTCATTCTTTTTCCTTTTATTTGTGTGAAAAAAAATATTGCTTACTGGAAAATATATTATTTAATCAATATAAGATTTGAACGACATATAGAAGCGAGGAGCACATATAACAAAAACACAAGACAATATTATGGAATATAACACACTTCTTTAATAAGGTTAGGCATATAACGTTTCAACACAATATACACGTGTCGTTATCAGATGTTTTGGAAAACAATAATATGAAATTTTATAGTCCATAAGTGATGGAAAGGAACCAGTTTAATTGTTCACTTCTAGAGGTATCTAATTTGAGTTGAATACTCACAAAGAGCTTATTAATTTGATGTAAAAATCATAAATGGTACTGAAACATTTATTATTATCATATTTTATGTTAAAAATCTTAAAACCTTTTTTTTCTAATTTCAGATAATTTAAAATGGGAGAAGGAGGCGGAGCAGGAAAAGGAGGTTTATGCCCAGGAATTCTATGGGGAATCTTATGGTTTCTAATCTTGTGGTTTATTGGTTGGCCGGTTGCCTTCTTCATCGCCTGGTTGTACGTGTTCCTCATCCCCTTCTCTGCCTGTATCGAACCATTGAAGGGAGTCTGTGACGCCATTTTAAAACTAGTTCAGTTACCTTTAACGTGTGCTGAAAATATGATCGCTATGAAACCACTATGTGGATAAACGCGAACTGACTTTAATAGACCTGTATATACAAGACTACAAATTAAGTATAGACTTGATTAACCAAGCATTATTAGTTTCAATATATTAGTGATATGCTGCTATCTGCACTGGATGATTTTCTACCTAAATAAGAGTTATCTACCTCTACAGATAGCCTAGAGTTACGTATCTTGATAAGTTATAATCAGAAGATTGATCGACCTGTATCCATTATAATCAGAAGATTTTTAGACCTCCATCCATTATAATCAGAGAAGTTATCGACCTTCATCCATTATAATCAGCAGAGTTGTGTACCCTTGAGTTTCCGAACATCAGGAGTTGTGTCTCCTTGTCCTTGGTTATTGAAAGTCTCGAATTATGGACTTTAATGTGCTAAGTTTAAAAGAGTTATCGACCTTGGTATCAGGAATTATAAGTTCTAAGTTATAACCAGCGGAGTTATCGACTTTCGTCCATTTAATCAGAAGAGTTATGGACCCTTGAATCATTATAATCGGAAAGGTTACCTGCCCTTGTAGTGCCTTATAAAGAAATATAACTGCTTATCGTCTGCTGTATCAGAATCTCTTTACTTGTCACTGCTGCAATCTCTCACCTGGATTTTTTGATCAAACTGTGATACATTAAGGCAGCGTTTTACACAGAATTTCGCATCAAGTCAGTAGCTTCACTATAGACCCAAACGATCAAATGATACGAATGAATCTCGTCCTTTCTCTTTCTCTGCGAGAAAACCTTGCCAGTATATAACTTTGTAATGTATATCTAGATATAAGATATTTGCCAACAGGAATATATCTATTTAATATATTATGTATGAATGAAATAGATATAAAAATATAATATAAAACATTCATTATTAATTTATATATTAAATATCAAAATAAGTTTTACCAAGGATACGAATCAGGCCTCGCTCTATATTAAACACTTTGATAACTCTGTTAATTCGTCGTTTCGATTCTAGAATCTGCAACCTACCATTCATGCATTGGGGTGGGTGATATCCACAGATTGCGTTATAAATGTCGGCGTTATCTTAAGACAATTCGACAAGAATTCTGGCAATCTATTTGGTCGGAAAACCCTGGTCTGGTTTAAGGGGGAGTCATTCGGCAATCTTCGGAAGTTTTCGTAAAGCTGATTCTATCATGCAGAGCGCTCGTGTATAGCTTCTACGGTAGGCCGCTTGATGTAATACCGCCTAATATCGTGGTATATAGAGTTAGTCCTGGTACTACCTGTGGATAATGTTTATATTAAATTATTTATATTTAAAGGTACATACATTTATAACTATTATAAATCAATTATAAGTATTAGTGTAGAATTTGTTATAATGTTATTTTCATTTGATATAAAAAGCTTATACAAAAATAAATTTTTTCGTACTTAAAGCACAATCGTGTTAAAATGAGGGTTTTCATACAGTGTGTAAAGAGAGAAATTGTGCTAGGATAGCGGCATTAGCCTACATGTTTGGCCCTGGGGGGGGATTTGCAACTGTCGACGGATCTTTAACGTGAGCTAGTATCACACGGGGCCTCGATTTATTGTCCTATTCGAACAGCTAGACGCCTTTTCCATGTCAGCTTCTTCATCCTACATAACTGACAAGTAAATACCTGATTCCGAAGGGATTGAACCCTGGACCGACAGGTCATTCCATAAACTCCTATTAGATACAGAACGGTGGGTCATTAACTTCCATTTCATTTCATTAGTCCAATTAGATACAGAACGGTGGGACATTAACTTCCATTTCATTTCATTAGTCCAATTAGATACAGAACGGTGGGACATTAACTTCCATTTCATTTCATTAGTCCAATTAGATACAGAACGGTGGGACATTAACTTCCATTTCAATTCATTAGTCCAATTAGATACAGAACGGTGGGACATTAACTTCCATTTTATTTCATTAGTCCAATTAGATACAGATCAGTATGGCATTAACTTCCATTTCAATTCATTACTCCAATTAGATACAGATCAGTATGGCATTAACTTCCATTTCATTTCATTACTCCAATTAGATACAGAGCACTATGACATTAACTTCCATTTCATTTCATTTCATTAGTCCAATAAGATACAGAACAGTAAGACATAAAATTCCATTTTTTTTCATAAGTCCAATAAATACAGGTAGGACAAAAACTTCCATTTCATTTCATTTCATTGATACAGATCAGTATGACATTAACTTCCATTTCATTTCATTACTCCAATTAGATACAGAACAGTATGGCATTAACTTCCATTTAATTTCATTTCATTACTCCAATTAGATATAGAGCAGTATGACATTAACTTCCATTTCATTTCATTAGTCCAATAAAGTGAACATTAAATAAAGTTGGACATTCAGGATTAAATTTTCATTGTCCTGTATAACGACTAATAGACCAGGTAAAGAACACATGGACTTGAAACCCAAATCATTTTATATTTTCAGAATAAGACGTTAGAATGGGAGAGGGAAGCGGTTCTGGTAAAGCTGGTCTGTGTCCTGGTTTAATCTGGTCCCTGTGCTGGTTTGTCCTTCTCTGGTTTATTGGTTGGCCGGTTGCTTTCTTCATAGCCTGGTTATACGTCTTCCTCGTTCCCTTCTCGGCTTGTATACACCCACTCAAAGGAGTCTGCGATGCTATTTTAAAAATCGTGCAGCTTCCTTTGACCTTTGCTGAAAATATGATGTCTATGAAGCCGTTGTGTTAACTCTGTTTTAAATTTTAAACCAGAAGTGCAATAACTATGCTCAATCTGAATACAGCCGTCTACATATTTATTTCATAAGCTGATAGACCTCTGTCACTTTTTAGATAGTGAAAATCCGTATTTCGGTTTTGTTTTTAAATAAAAAGGTACCAGTGGACGTAACCTTTATTGTAAACAAACACATCGTTTTTCCACTACTGGACGTCGGTGATTGATCGTCATAGAGGATCTGTAAACTTCAAAGTTGTTCCCTTTCTTTGGTGCCTTTTATTTAAAGAATGATGCAAATCGATGCTATCAGTGTTACCATAGACATATATTTTTGTAGAAAACCTCTTACAATTCCTTTTATAGCTGAATAGATTAATTTGACGTCTATCATCTGTTGAAGGCAATATTTAGACGGCTGTGTCACTTATTAACTATGGTGCTTTGGAATCTAACGAGTCAAACGATGTCTTCAATAACTATATCTATATTTTCATAATTTTGTACAATGTATGTGTGAAGCCAATTCGGTGTAAAGCGAACATGGTCGATGACGAGACCACGAGGTTATGGAGTTATCTGTCCAACTGTGGATCCGCTAGCGAGTAGAGTCATAGGCTACTTACTCTTCCAGAAAACCGTATACCTCTTTACATTACTTTTTATGGATTAAGGTTTAATTGCTATAAAGAATATATGTATATGATTCTCAGTAAAATATAGTCACGACAAAAAAATGTCTAAGAGTTTGATAATTATGTTAATACTTCACAAATAATCCGTTTAGCTTATCATTAAAATTTGAAAGAAACGATCATGTAATAGTTTTATATGTTGTGGTAAGGTTTAGGACTATAACTCGAGAACTGCATCTTAACACTATGGGTTTTTGGGATCCTTGTTTATTATATCTGCCATTTTGTGTCTTTACTACAAAAAGTTTAAATGATAATTATTGTAAACAAACCTATAAAAAGTATTTATAGTCAAAGTCGACTAAATATACAACAACAAGTGTCTTGTAAATGAATATGTATTATCATTCAACTGTGAGTAACAACATGTTTCAGGTTCTGTCTTGATTTTTTCTAATCATTCATATTTAATAATTCTCAATATATTCTAATTCGCATACAGATTACTTTGTGATTTTTACTATTCGAGTCATTGTGCGGATGCTGTATTCATTACGCCTTGTATAAATGGGAAGTGGGGATTTCGCCTGTTGCTAAAGAAATATAAGTCTTATTGGAATCTTTGTTAAACCACATTTGATGAGTTCTGACGTAAAGATGTGGCAACAAATTTGCTTTATCGATGAATACTATTTTCCACAACCAAGAGGTAATGAATACAGTATAATTCTAGTCTATAATATAATATTATATCCATCGCTTATCAATAAATATCTTATTACAATGTTCATGTATTACTAACCAATTCTTCATATCCAAAAACCCTATTGAACACCCTGTAGATCTTGCTAGCCAGTTGCGGCGTGCTTACCCTATCTTATTGTCCGATTCAGTCCAAAAGCGTTGTTCAATATAGCTTTCAGGGTTATGACAGGCATAGATCTACGTAATTACTAAAGAGATCTTTAAGGAAGCTTTTAGGGTGTTGGAGTCATTCAGAGAATGCTTTTCCTTCGGATCTCCTAATGACACATTTGAAGTGTTCACATAGCTCGACACACTGAGAAAACAATCAGGCTATCAGTCCAAAGTCCGAAATCTTCATTTAATGGATTCGTCGTTTATTGTAAGACAGTTAGAGCATGCTTACGTTTTCAGAACACCTGGCCTGTTTCACTACGAATGGTGGGAAGTGTGGAATTAAACATTGAGAAATAGCACACTCAAGACAATAGTTATTGTTGTAAGTTTTATTTACAAACTTGGGCTGATCCCATGTAGATACACTATCTGGGTTTACTCACTCTTTACACCATCTAGGTTTACTCACTCTTTACACCATCTAGGTTTATTCACTCTTTGCACCATCTAGGTTTACTCACTCTTTACACCATCTAGGTTTACTCACCCTTTACACCATCTGGGTTTACTCACTCTTTACACCATCTAGGTTTACTCACTCTTTACACCATCTAGGTTTACTCACTCTTTACACCATCTAGGTTTACTCACTCTTTACACCATCTAGGTTTACTCACTCTTTACACCATCTAGGTTTACTCACTCTTTACACCATCTAGGTTTACTCACTCTTTACACCATCTAGGTTTACTCACTCTTTACACCATCTAGGTTTACTCACTCTTTACACCATCTAGGTTTACTCACTCTTTACACCATCTAGGTTTACTCACTCTTTACACCATCTAGGTTTACCCACTCTTTACACCATCTAGGTTTACTCACTCTTTACACCATCTAGGTTTACTCACTCTTTACACCATCTAGGTTTACTCACTCTTTACACCATCTAGGTTTACTCACTCTTTACACCATCTAGGTTTACTCACTCTTTACACCATCTAGGTTTACTCACTCTTTACACCATCTAGGTTTACTCACTCTTTACACCATCTAGGTTTACTCACTCATTTTACAGTCAAACTGTGAGGGCAGCAGATAGTTTGAGACATACCATGAAAAAGACTGATTCCTAGTTAAAACAACATTTTGCTCTCTTTACTAAGCAATGAAAAGAGTTCCAGGATGTACATTAATATCTTTCGATCTGCAATGATGCTAAATATTCCATCAAACTAATTCATTAAATTACTATATTTATTTTACAATTAATAACAAGAGTGAAAATGAACACAAACAAATTACGTAGCTTCCATAATAGCTCGCTTTCTTTTCCTATGTTTTTTCACCATGTCTGACGTAACAAGTTTTTCTGTTTCACGAGTCTCCCATCTCTGAAAGTCAATCAAACCTTTCTGTCCGGCTATAAATAAATGTCTCTCTGTTTCGTCGAGTTTCTGGGTGAGTCTAGAAATATCTTCGTTTAAAGAATTCTGTGAAGAATCCATGATGAGTCGAATCCTGGCTTGTAAAGTCTGAAAGAAACAAATAAAATTGAGTTTAGGTCATAGACTTAAACTCTGGGGTGGGCTAATAAAGGCAAATAGCACATTTGTCAAGGGTTTATGAATTAATTTGATAGCCGAATCTGTCCAAATCCACCATTTCAATATCCTTTTCACTCAATTAGTCCTGTTAAGGACAAAATTGGCTGCCAGTTATGTTTAGTGGAACAAACGTAAATTGTACAAAAGGGATTCCATAAAGGCGGCTAATTTTTATAGCTACATTATACTCCATGTGTGACAAAATCACTAATTTGTGTACAAAAAAGGAAATTTCATTTTGACAGCTACTTCATGACTAGTAGTACAAAGGTCCTGTTAAATAAAAAATGCATCTTTTGTGTTATTGATTAAATGGAGACAAGTCCAAAATAGAATAATATATGGAAATTTTCATTATATCACTTAACAAATGTGTTAAAGAATGAAGTACTTTTTAACTCACTTTTTGGCCTTCGGGGTCCTCAAAGTATTTAAAGCTAAGAGATAAGTAAGAGGGCAATACTTTTAATAAGTGGTTCAACTATCATAGGGACTGTTTAAACCAAGTTCAGGGATTTCCACCACTAAAAGGTCTCCATCCCCTGACAAAACTATCAACAGGCATTAAATTGACTAAAAGAGGGGTTTCAAAATGCAGAAGAGCAAAGGTTAAAATAATATTCCCAACCTACTGGCTACGAGCGCCCATTCACCTAGTTGAGCCACTACTTTCAACTCACCTTTAGAAGTGACTTGGCAATGTCACTGACTTCAGGGTGCTCAAAATTTAACAACTCAGAACCAAAATTATAGAAATACGGCCCTAACTGATGGAGGTCCACTACTGAAGCATCAGCTGTGAGGATTTCCCTATACCCCTCACGATATTGTCTGGGCATCTCTATACTGACTATCTGTCTACGTCGACTACACAACCCCCGGGCCATCCAGTAGGGAATTTCTAACTTTGTTCCTGCAACCAGATCATCACTGTCACTACTACTGTCTAGGTAACCTGGAATAAAACAATAATTAGGTTAAAACCACACTATGAAGTCAGGGTAGGTACCTTTTATGTGGGTTGCATACTGGTCCTATCTAAACTTCCTGCTCAGACATAATAGGCCTACACAAAGGTAGAAAACTGCATATGATTTATTATAATATATACGGTGGTCTGATCTCAACACACTTGATTATGCTACAAAGTAGTCAAACAGCTAAGTAAGCCCTCAACAAAGCAAGGAAGATATGAACACTGGAACTTGAGAAGGGGTTACTGATATACATGGACTGGCGACTGCTATGAGACCACGCCCACTTCTTTCTTCGCAAGTTTGAAGTTTGTTGACAAAGTATCAAAAAACAGATCTAAACACGATCTTACCTAATCTGTAGATAGGCATTTCAACTTTACATGGTATCCTCTCTTGTGTGGACAAAATTCCGTCAATACTGAAGTAGTTATCGCTTAATTTCGCCATTTGAAATTCACGATCGTGGAAAAGCAGTGATAAAAGCCGCCAAGTTGTTTTCATCTGAGGTCAAGGACGATTACGGACCGGTTATTGTGAAAAATCATATTTATATTAAATTTATTGAATTGTAGCTTTTATTCATATGAATTGATTATCAAGTCATTTGTCTCTATCAAGTCATATTTTACTCCTTTACCATAGTATCTACCTAAACAGAGAAAATATGCTTGAATATCTAAGCTTACAAAAACCGGTCCCCACCAATATCAACTTCCGGAATTTCCAACACACGTGGGTTTGTTTACATCAAGATTGTGGACTAAAATCGAGCTAAACACCTACAGGTAAGTGACTCTACGTGTACATAATTTTCTTTTGAGTTGACAGATTTAAATTTTCTTCGGTGATTTTCATCTTATGATGATCAAAGTTAATTTAAGGTTCGAATCTTCAAGTAATACGAATCGTACGATGGGCAGCCAAGAGTTGTCCCCCTTAGTGAGGGATTGACTAATTTCCGAGAAAGGTTCACATTATAAAAACACTAAGGGAGCTTTCAGTCAGTCATCTACCAACCAACCAATGTCTTCTCTTGTCCTGATGTTTGTCATGCGTTTAGTTAATTGAATATATTATGGTTTAAGTTTATAACATAAATACTAGCTACATTAGGACATTGTTATATTTATGAAATATCTGTTAGCGGGGCTTATCATTACAATAAGGTAAATTATTGCTGAGAGTTTTACCAACTCAGAGAGGATTCATGAATTATTTGTGGGTTAGGAACATTGAATATATTTGCAGTTATTTCCCCTCAATAAATTAAATCTCTCTTAAATATGTTGCCCAATGCATGCATCCCAATTCTAACTAGATAACGAGGAATGAAAAATCTCAAAACCGCCAAGGGCGGTCCCATCATAAAGTTCAGTGTTTAAGGCATGAATTTTTGGTCTTGGCCGAGTAAATAAGATATTGTTTCTGACCTTTCTGCTTGCCATCTTTTGAAATTTAATGCCATGACTAACGGGCTATATAATGTCAAATTCAGCTACTAAAACTTTGCTTCAATGTCTAGTGATCACAGACCATAAAGAATATTCGAAAGATTTCAACAAAAAATAATTTTTATTAGTATAATATATCATCAATATCATACGTTAGATACGATATAATACAATATAGCCTTACAGAACAAAATAATGGCACAGTTGTTACGCTTTGTTTCTTCTCTAATTTAATACAAAATAAAATTCTAAGAAAGTAAAAGAAAGAAATAACTATATTTCACATAAAAGGCTTACAGTTAATGATCCTGTTGACCATCTGGTCCATGGTCAAACGTCTTGGCATCGATCTTTCTCGGATTCAGTGGCGTTCCTAGGAAACATAGGATGAGAGGTGCTGTGCAGGGGCCACAAAATTTTCCAGGGGAGCCACAGGTCATTCTTCGACTATGTAAAATAATAAAATATTTGTAAGGGGGTGGCGAGGCAAAGCCAGGAAAGAATCTTTTCATGCCACCCACCCCTCCTGCACTAAAACCAATGCCCTGAAATTATGAGTGAAAATGAAATATTTATAGCCATTATAGTTATAAATGAGTGATCGTTCTCCAATTCGTCCAATTTAGATGCAGTGTGCAACAAAGGTTATTTCCCAGAATGCAGAATTAGCCTATACCATTTTCAAAGAGCAAGGGCATTGAGTCAATATCTAGCCCACCGATCTATGGAACAACTCGCCTATCTAACTGACCTATCTATCCCTAAACCTCAAGAAAAGATATAAGACAACTAGTCTTGACATTATTTGATTGTACACAGTGTCCGAGACGAAATCAATAGCTGATTGTTTGAAGTTCTAATCGCCTTCTGTCATGGTTTTACCTAGCTATTAATATTGGTCTTATTAATACAGTAATCCGATTAGTTTACTTTCACTTTATATCCGTCTTAGACTCAGATTTATCTTATAATGTCATTCACACTTTGTCTAAATTTTCTTTGAAGATCTTATTCCTTGGTGCTAGCACGAAGGTCACATTCTAGTGTGGTCTTAACCCTCTTGTCGACAGTTTCAGGGTGCTAGTTTGAGGGGCGCATTTGACATTGCCTAATTCTTCTTGGTTGATCCGATTCCTTGGAGCTAGTATGAAGGCAACATTGTCAGCTTGTCTAAGCAATCAGATAATCAGTGCTAGGAGAGGGGATTCTGACCTTGCTTCAACCAACCTGCAGTCAGTTCATAGGTTCTAGCATGAAGGGCACATTATTATCCTACCAAAACCATCTTTTAGACAATCCAGGGTTCAAGGACAAAGGGCAAACCAGTCTAAACAAGTGTGTTAACAGTTCCAGAGATCAAGCGATCACGTTGTTTGAATATCAAGAGCTCAAAGGAATGAGTTTTAAAGGTCTAAATCGTCTTATTAGTTTCTGGAAAAACCTGGACGATAGTTAGACAGGTCATTCTAATTTTGGCTATAGTTTGGAAGTAAAAGTGTCATAAAAAGTTTGGTAGGGGGCATTACAATAGATTTTTAGTATTCGCCCCGGCCTTACTGTTACCAGCAGTACTGAGTACCAGTAGTAATAACAATAGTAATGTTTATAAGTATATGAGGCACTTTAACAATATAAAATAATATACACAAATTATCAGCAATATGAACACCATCCAATACAATGCAAAAATTTTTGGTCCCAATATCACGATCCCGAAATACCAACATAGCTATGGAAGGGCATAACACAAAATATCTGTATTATCTACATAACATTAGTGAATTAGACATTTCTACTTAGCATCGACTTTTGGCACTGATGCCCTTCCATACATAGCTGTTTTGTCGTTATTCAAATTTCCAGTTCGCATTAAATGCTTAAGTGAATGCAGCCGTCTAAATATCTGCTATGCTAGTTGATAGCTCAATTTCATCCATTTCATATCACTTTAAGGAATAAAAATCTGACTTATGGTTCTCATACAATTCAACACGATTGTAAATTAGCTGGTAAAACACATATTTAGACATAAAACGAAACATCTGACTCTATTCCAGCCTCTATTTCGATGTTTCGGACTAATTTAGACACTAGATACCTTTAAATTTGAAAACTGAAATTCTCATTAATAGATTAAAATCAATCTTTTTGCAATTTATATTAAATTTGTAAAAAATCATCTGTTATATACACAAAATATACATTCTTTAAGAAGATAGCTCAACTCAGCAGCCCCTTCCGTGATCCATATATAGCTCCTTCACTAAAATCTCTCAAATCCTCTCCAATTTTTATACGAATTCTGTGACCCATGCAAGGTTTTGTCCATCCTGATTTTTTCGATTTTTACGATTACTGGTATGTAGAATAATCATAATAATAATAGTCATACAATATAAAAGATTACAAATTTGATGATTTTTCCAAATAAACGGCGAATTTATCTTTCTTGTCTTTATCGTGGTAAGAAATGATTAATTTGGGATGGTAATTAGTGTCCGCTTTCTGAACTATCAAAGTTTCTAATTTATCTTTTGATAGACCTAATTGGAACAACCATTTTGTCGCTTCCTCCCTTGTAAACACTGCCGAGAATTTAGGTTTCCCGTAATGATTGGAGACGTCTAAGTAAGACAGTTTGCGTCCGGCTTTAGCGTTTATTTTTACTGTTCTTTGTAGTTTTGGAGTCGTTAACCCGTAGTACATTTTAAAATTAACTTTTGGCGTATCGTTCTGTTTTAACAGAATAAAGGATATTTTCTGCTCGTCCTCGTGTAAGATGTAACTCTGAACTAAAGGATGGTAACCCTTCTCCAAATACAGCTCGATTAATTTCATATATGGTCTCGGAAAGTGGTGAATACCGAATTTCATTTGAGTATTGTTGTCGTAAGCACCTTTTCTAAAAATGGCAAGAAACGCATGTCGCGAGTCGTGTGAAATGCTTTTATAGTTCTGAAGGAATGTCATATTATAGCCCCGACCTTCCAGTAAGATCTTTTGCCTCAATAATTTATCCCCCATTAACCCATGTTGAACAATGTAGTCGTGTTTGTCCAGCGAATATTTTGGCGGGAGTTCGAATGGTTTTGAAATGATGGTGAAGTGAGTGTTTTGGTTTATATTAGAAGCACTAATCCACTGTAAGTCGAGATTTTCCAGTTTTAAGGCATTGATGTAGGCACCAAGATGATGTTCATTTAGCTTGTATTTGACCACCATCTCTCTATAGCCTGTAGAATTACACAAGTCCGATAGATCGGCGTAGAAAAGGTTAAAGTCGGACTCGGCTTTAAGAGATGACACCAATTCGTGCGATTTGTGCTTCAGATGTTGTAGACCTTTTCCATTCATCAGAAACACGAACGAGTCAACATCGTGAGCTTCTTTTGGTGTGGATTCATCTTTTGTTTTGTGATAGAGAATAAGGTCGTCCGTGTGTGGATCGGCTAGAGTCCAAATAGCACTGTGAGAATTGATTTTAAAGCCAGCGCCATACCAAGTATCACTATGTTGAATTGGAGCTGCGACTGGTCGGAGAAGCAGTTTTTGGAAGAATTCATCTTCAAGCAGTTGTCCATGGTGGTTCGTGTCTAAGCATCGCATGAAACGCATCAGATCGTAGACGTTAGACTGCCATCCTAAAGCGGAATCAATATCTTGAGGATCCAAGATGTCGTACAAAGAAACGTCGCGATCCTCGAAGCTGTCAGCTGGCTTGTCCGGGTCCGTCATGCTCGTTCCCAGATTCACGATCTCGACATTATCGTCGTAGCCACCAATTCGAGTGTGCCACATTCCACAAGGCACTAAAATGTTCGTTTTTATATAATCCTCATAGCTGGTTTCGGCAACTTCTTCGATGATTCGTCCTAAAATAATGTACCCGAAATTAGAATAAACCATTTTTGTGCCAGGGGTAAAGTCCAACTTCTGCGAGAACATGTATCTCATGGTTTCAGATGGCGTCAATGGTTCCGAGTGGCCCATCGTCTTCAGAATGTCTGGCACTTTGTGACCTCTTTTGAGGTAGAGTTCGTTCATAACAGGATCGTAAATTGGTCCTTTAGACAGATCCCAACCAGCAGTATGATGTAATAGATGATCCACTGTTATGTCATAGATCCGTGGATCCTTGAGATCCTGAAACGGTTGGATCATGTGTAAGACGCCTTCTTTACCGAAGACCTTCTCGTCCAGGCCTAAAAGTCCCTTCTGAACGAGCTGCATAATGGCTATCGCCGTGAAAGACTTTGATACACTGGAAACTGGAAATAGAGAACTGGCCGATAGTTTGTTATCAAAGCGATCCGTTCCAAATCCTGCCGCGTACACTAACTGTCCATTTTTCATGGCGGCCACAGAACCTCCTTCATACCCATGTTTATCAATGAATTCTTCAAATTTGGCACCAAGTTCATCCTTGGCTTTAGATTCACCTGAAATAGAGAAGAGGATGTCTATTAAACATGTTATTTACAATTTTCTCCTTGCTGGAGTAGATATACTGGTTTCTACTATCCAAGCTATAACAGCTTTGTACAAAGCTAAGAATTGTATGGGGTTTAGATCCCTTTCGAATTCTTGATTCTTATACCACTTTAAAACTTTCATTTCATTTCATTTTCAAAACTTTCATGATATTGCCTACCAGTGTATACTTGTTTTTTTGCACCCCAAAAATATTTACTAACGATGACATTTGACCTCGCATAACAGAGCAAAACCTTTGAATGGGGCGGCTCTTTTCAATTGTAATATTTATGTTAGGATAATATGAGATATCTGTTTATATTGCGAATAATGAGATTTGAAGGTTCACCAGTACACAGGCTCTCTCGACTTATATTTAAATGACCAATATCTTTTTAACAGTGTCGTATCATGGTATTAATTTTCACGTATCAATGACAGAATGAACCGAATGCCTGTGTGTAAGTAATATTGATAGGTGATAATAACCAGTCAGTCCTGTAGTATAGAGATAAGTAGAGTAATATAATATAATAATTAATATCTAGAATACAATCAATCAGTTCAAACTGTCAATTATCAGTCAAATATCATTCTATCTCCTTCTACAATCAGTCTCTATATAACAAGTGATATATATAATGATAGCTTGCTCTTAGTTTAAATTGCTACAAGAATTTAGGATTAAACCAATATATAAGCTCTGTGGAGTATTAAAATTATACTCTGAAAGTATTTCTTGTAGTTTTTGTAGGGATTGAACCCTGGACCTTCAGGTTAGCGAGCAAGCGTCTTACTGAGCCACCACGGCTCCCGACAAATTGTTCAAGTCGAAACATTCTTGTTTCCAATGTTATGGATCATGATATGATAATTCCAGTAAAGTCGTAATCTGTCATTTGTCAAGAATTCGTGCTGAAAACTTCTGCTCGTGGGATTTCAATGGCCGATTCGACTTCTTATCTTTTCCCGTCTCCATTATATTAATTTAGTACTCAGCTATCTTTGATCCCAATTGGCCATGCTCATTAACGAGGTGATTAACCTTTGACATAATGCGGTTCTACAGATTCCAAGGACGATGTTTGATGGTTAAAGAGGGGGTATGTGTCGGTTTTATCAAAACAGTAATTGGGGCCCAATCCTTTCTTGCTTCCAGTGTTCAACATTGCATGTGCATGTATGTTTTGTTATTGTATTTTGCAGTTTTTAATTCAAAATAAAAAGTGATATATGTCGTATGTGAGCCACCGTAGTACAGGAAGAAATCTTTGTTAAAGGGGTAACTTCTGTCAGCTTTATTCTATATGAATAATTCCCTCTCAGCAATATATGGTTTTCGTTTAATATTCTATTTATGGGAGTAGTTCTTGATTTGGAACTTCATCATTGCTTCAAATGCAGTCCAATTTTTAGAATTTCAACATCAGCCTTCTATCCAAATCTTCATTATGAATATTTCAAAATATACTCTGTAAATTGGTGCAAACTGCCACTTTACCGGTTAATATTATTATATGTTATTATGACAGATGAGGATTGGACAAAGATAACATAAATTGACTGATAATCTCTTGAGTCTATCTAAGATGAACTGTTGGCTCTTTACCATAAAGTCGTTACAATCAGTCGAACTAACCAATATTTAACGATATGATCTGGGGTGATATATTCCACATCCTACCATACTAATAGGTTCGATCAAGGACGACTTCGTAGACAGGATGCACGACATCCTAAAGGTTGATAACTGCCACCGTTTCTAATCTCGGAAGCACTGTCAGTGGCATCAGAATCTGTCTCACCTTAGGGATGATTCGACCTAGGAATGTTTAGGTTCTAATTGTCCAAATGTGTCTTAATTGTATTTGTGAAACAGATTAACAAATAATCTATTCCTTGAACATTATCAAATGTATTATCATTGCCGACTAAATGAGAGAATTTCTCCCATTTTTATTAAAGTGATACCCTATTTAAAATGGTGTCACTGTTATAATGCTAATAAGAAGCATCAGCCGGGGATTAAGATATAATGATAGCTTTCTCTTAGTTTGAATTGGTACAAGAATATAGGATTAAACAATATATAAGCTCTGTAGATTATTAAAATGAAAGTATTTCTTGTTGCTATTTAAGAGAAAGGTCCACAGATCCAGAGAAATTCTGATTTTCCCAAGAATTTAGTTCGATGCCTTGTTTTAAATTTTACTTTGTGAATACTTCTGACAACGATCCCCCTCCATATTCAAATACTAATTGATCCAGTTATCCAATATATATATCTGTTAACGGAAACGAAATGCTAGAATGGTTAATTTACGATCTTAGACTGTCGGTAGAATCCCACTGATCGATCAGGCTCCTAGAATTCAGAAGACAGAAGACAATCAGTGTAATGAATAGTTCCACAGTTTTCAGACTTCCGATTTGTCTGTAGAAAAGGCAACTTGAGATCGCTAGCCTGACAAACACGAATAAAGAAAGAATCGTCTCTTGATCACTAACTTGACAGATCAGAATAAAGGAAGAATCGTCTAGTTCAAAGTTAAGAATAAGACCGAAAAGAGTAGAGGAAACACGTTCTAATTCATACGTTTCATTTTTCATTACCTTTTGAGGTCAATGGGGCCAATTTTGTGTTTTGACGGCAATCGAATTTTGGATTAGACTGTCAAACTCGATAGGTGTTATAAAGACAGAAACAACAGTATTTCATAAGGAGAACAACTTCTAACAGCTGGTCCTTTGCTAAACTTTTTTCGAATCATCCGCACCCATTTACAACTGAGTCGACTGGAATTATGAATAAAGACGATTTATTCAAGCTCATCGGACTTACACTCGCTGATCGAGATAAGAACCCACAACCGCCATTTTTTACGTACGGTAACAAAGCAAATGACCTAATGCACATAAAGAAGCAGCGTAGGCCTAGTACAGTTAAACTGATATTACACTCTAGATTAAGTAGAAACTAATTTAATTATTTTTCCAAATCAATGACAAATCATTACAACAACTATCAAATCAATATTATAGATCATGTTATTATGTTTAATGTAGAACAGCTTCAAATACAATTACTGGTGAATTACGGTTATAATTCAATATAATTGAAAAATGCAATTTTCCCCATTAAACAATTCTGTCTAATCCGAATAACGTGAAACGGAAAACAATATCCTCAACACAAACGAGAAATTATCATTAATTTGATCGATCAAAACAAATAAAAAAAAATCGATGTTCAATTTTGATTTAATATAATCTAAAACAGTTTTGAAAATTTACAATACAATGGCAAACTTTTATAGCCATCTACCAAATCGAATCTGAAATTAAATTAAAGGAAATTATGAAATCATTGCGGATTACAATGAATGATGTATTTTGTTGAATTCTAAGTATGTTTTCATGATTAGACTTGCTGTAGTCTTATCGCTGTGGTAATTAACAATAACAGGTATGTGTATTAACATTGTTCATGATTGTATCGTATGTTCCTCGTGTATTGATTGTAGGTTTGTATTTGTGTTTTGGACTGACATGGAAATCTTGTTTCATTAACTGTTGGTGATATTCTGCCAATATTCGTCTTACCAATTTGAACAAAAACACTCGTGAAAATATTCTGATTGTCTTTTATTACTATTTCAACAAAAATGTGCGAAATTCCACAATTATCCCTGTAATTCCTGCAATTTATATAATTACTGTTGAGCATTATAATTTGTTGACGAGTTATTTTTTCTGTATATCTGATGAAAGTGTTTGTTTATTGAAGGCAAGGTTTGCCAAAACAATTGAAATGAATTCTTGTTTTTATCTCACTATTCTATGTTGTTCTTGGCAGTGACGACGAGAAAGGGCAAACACCACGCATAGCCAGTGAACCATTGGAAAATAGTTCCTGTAATTTTGTTGTTTTTCTCACTCAGTGGCATTCACCATTCACTAATTTAGTCATTGCAAGATAGTTGCCACCATTTTGGACAGTGGCAAAAACCATTAACATTGCCATTGGGAAATAGTCAAGTTGCTATACAATTTTGCAGTTTTTGACAATGTTCTAGTTTATTGGCAGGTATTGCATTTGTTACATTTTGATTCAAGAAATTCAATTGCATTAAAATCTTAGTGGGTCATTGAAAGATATTTGCTGGAATTTGACGATGTCCGAGGAAGAAGGAATCCCAGCATCTGGTATCTTGTGGTTAGGGATTGTCGTTGTTTTACGTGGATGGAATTTGCCCAAAAATAAGTCATAAATGTCCCATGTATACATGAAAATCATTTCAGAGTGAGCTGAACTGGTGGTACTTAGATTTTATACAAGTAATAAGGCAATTTTGGGAACCTTTTTAGGTGTGGAGAAATGTATATGAGACAATAGAATTAGTGTTAAATGGTAATTGATATTCACGATACAGAGTGAGAGCAGGTGCGCGGAGTAAGATATGTTTTATCAGGGTGTAGTGCTACTGGAGTATGTTTATGATTTTATTTATCATGGTGGTGTAGATAGAGTCGTGGATAGAATATAAACACTGAACAATCAGCTTAATGTTCCTATACTACACTACAGGAGACAAGCTTATTATTAATCGACTATAGCAGGGGTTTTCAACTAGGGGGTATTAACGCCAAGGGGGTAATTTATGATTTTTTGAGAGGTAATAAGGCGCTCTGTAGTCTAGAATAAAATGTGTGGACAATCATCATTTAATTTATACTATATACAGCCATCCTATATTCTTCAACTTAAAAAGATTGCAGGGAAAACCTGGGAGAATATCACGAAATAGTAAGGATTAATAATAGAAGAAGGGTAATGCAATCTATCATGATATACATTGGTTATAGAAAGGAAAAGGTTGAAAACTCCTGAAATATAGTCTAAACATTCCAGTAAATGTAAAGAGAGGCGAACTCTTGTCAGTAGAGTTATGAGACCAATAGTTCAAAACAACGTTGAGTGATAGACAGAGTGTGGAGGGTTGGGGGGGGCGCTATACAGACTATATAATATTACCAGGCTAACAACATGTAAATTTGATTAATCATTAATCACCAATAAGTAATATAAGTTTATAAATAGACGCACAACTATTACAATGGTCTAATGCAATATTCTAATATGTAAAATATCATTAATCACCTATTAGTATTACCAATATTCAACAGTCTAGTCTTATAATGATACTTAATCTCTTTAACAACCCCCTTGAAATACATAAAACTAATCTAACCCAGTTTGTAGCCCTCGGTCGCGTGGGTTCGAATCTACCACAGTCAGTCTTTCTTTGGGAAATAACAAGCCGTTGGTTCATTCTTAACAAAGTCAATGGTCTATTTTGTTTAGAAGAGGATAAGGTACTGACTAATAGTTGAATCGAATTGTATATATTATTTTTCGTCTCAACCGTTCATAAGTTCCTTAGATTTTATCAAGAGTTTTCATCTTGCACTTCGTCAGAAAACTTTGCTTTATATACTCTGATCGGCACCCTATTTTAAGATCATACCTATTAGGTCCATTTGTTTTTCTACATTAACAAGACACCCTGTATCGATTGTTGAAACTTGGTATTTTTAATCTCAGCTAACAAGATTCATGTGGAAAAATTAAGCCAGTTTCTATTAAATTGCCTTGAAAAGTTTCCGGTTTCTCATTGTACGGAACGTGGTTGATTACCCACGAATTTAACTCTCCGATGTTTTGTAAAGTGACTCGGTATGATTATAAGATGAAATGACTGAACGTGTTGATATTTTACAGTAAGCTGAAAGGCAGGGTCTCAAGTTACAAATGTTCATATAGTGTCCTAGTAGATGGTAATTTGTAAGTTCTTTTCTGTTGAGTTTATAAATCTTTGAGCACAAAACGTCATAGAGAAATATAACGCAGTAGTAGGTGAAGATATGACGGTCCTTATTTCCTTCGTAGGTGCTTGAAGTTTTAAAATAGCTTAACATAGGGCGATAGAGCGTCATTGCAGACTTAGACCTTCAAATCTTGAAAGTATTTATGAGAGGTCTAGAAAGTGTTTAATTGATTGGGGTGTTTTCAATTCAACAATCATCTCGACAAAATTGTCTTAGTGGTAGCATTGCACCTCGTATAGCAGTGCAGATACAGGTCGTAAAGTCTGGCATAAAACAGAAGGATGTAAAGGGTTTAATTTCAAGGTTAATAGTTAAACTCTATACCACACTGATGGACTATTTCATTACTAGTGACCAGCGGATTATCTAAAATATTGTTGTAACAGACTTCTGAAATTTCTACTGAGTCTTAATTTTGCTTTCTGTGTTGTTACAACTGCAGTAGTTGAAAGCTGAATACGGCTGTCTAAAGTAAAAAGTAATTTGTGATGTGAAAAATCAATTGTTTTGTCAATACCTAATTACATTACATTACCTCATTCAGTAGAAACAGTTGGTTTGTATGTCAAGTTTTATTAATCAATATACAACCTAACTAGTTATACATAGTACTACAAATCACCAGTAGATATCTGATATAAATGTACTGGTGATTATGTGGATAAAAATCACCACCATGCTGAATATTGAAAAATGAAATGAAATAAATGGAGTTTTACGTCCTACTCTTCTGCACCTTGTGGGCTAATGAAGACGGGCAACGCCATGCAGGGTGCCATGAGGAAATTTTGCCAGGACAGCGGCATTAGCCTGCTCTTTTTCGATTTCCAACTGTCGAGGGATCTTTAACGTGCACAGCCTGTAGCACACGAGGCCTCGGTTTATTGTCCCATCCGAACGACTAGACGCTTTTTCCATGTCAGCCCCTCTTACCTGCATCACTGACAGGGGGAAACCGGGTTGAAAAATCCGAAGGTATTATCTCGACCTATGCCGGGATTGAACCCTGGACCTTCAGGTTAGCGAGCAAGCGTCTAACTCACTGAGCCACCGCGGCTCCCGCTGAATATTGAAAGCACTGGCTAGGGCATTTGAAGCCGCCGCTGCCTTTTAGATTAGTTGACGATAATCTCAAGTGACTGAGCTTACCACTGGCAGTTCATCAGTTCATTCATATTCATATAACTCATGATAGGCAGAAACCAGGAAAAATGTCTCACCATCCAATCACAAGTTTATATTCCACACAGATACAGCAACTGTTTATTGTAAGAATTATTTATATTGGGATCTTGCATTTAAAAATAGCTCACTTACGACTAACGACAGTTGTTGATCGTAAGATTTTGTTAAACGGAGACTAAATGAAATTAAATGTATGGAGTTTTACGTCCTACTTTTCTGCACCATTTGGGCTAATGAAGACGGGCAACGCCATGCAGGGTGCAATGAGGGAAATTTTGCCAGGACAGCGGCATTAGCCTGCTCTTTTTCGATTTCTAACTGTCGAGGGATCTTTAACGTGCACAGTCTGTAGCACACGGTAAACGGAGACTAAGGGGTACTGGAATATCATGCCGTATTTCAGAACAATAGGTAGTAAAACTCCGCTTTTAATAGACGGAAACAGTAGTGAGTAGAAAGTTGCTGATCTGTGAAAGATCAGAGAAAGGTTAATAGATGAATTAAACAGGTTTGGTGTGAAGGGAATTGCATGTCATCTTTACATCATAGTCGCATTAATAATTCAAAACTATTGTATTTTATCGCTATGCTGTCGTGGTACGAAACAAATAGACATTTATTGACAGACCAACACATTGTTTTTATGACTTTTTCATCTCGAATTCTTTCTCGTCGTATTTATTGTCTTCGTTGTTTATTTTGGGTATGAAAATAGAACTTCCGTTTGGCATATTCAGATACATCTTATCAACAGCATTCTTCAAATCATTAATGTTAAAGAAGTCTGTAGGATTAATGAAAAACCGTAAGCATGATAGTTGAAGTTTTATGGGTTATCATCTTAAAGTTAAGATTCAAAAAGAGACATGTCATTTTCACAATGGTTAAGGTATTACGTTTTCATCTGTCTTATAAGACGATGACATAAAACCTTGAACATTGTGAAGATATGTGCATGTACATTTCTACCATTAGAGTACGCTATGTTAGGTCGTGTGAGGTTGTAACACGAGTAGCGGTTTACGTGTTTCGTTTCTGATTTCCCCTTCACAATTAACAGAAAAAAACGAGAAAACCACTCATTGATATTCATTGAACTGTTGTTTGCTTTGTTTTGACGGTTATGTTACTAATCGACTTTGTGCAATGTGTTACGTTCAGACGACCAGAAACAATAACAATCCGAACCACCCTTTTCATGAAGTGTAAGATTTAAATTGTAATGATGTAACGTAACTGTACTGGGCGACAGAAGTTATTTACATACACTCCGATATTAGCATGGACCTGAATAACACCCGATATTCTCTCAGTATTCACTGTTTATTTTTAATCCCTGTTCAACTCTCAACTTCACATATAATCAATGAGTTGGCCAATAAAAATAAACCTTTTTTCCATCAAGATTTATTTTAATCCTGCATCAACAAACCCAGCATCTTTATAAACAGTACTCAAGATCGTGAAGAACAAGCAGCTTACTTTTCAGATTTTACTCATGTGCATCAAGTCCTAATATTAGAATGCAAAAAGTCCAACAGCTATCCTGATGAGGATTTTATATCATAAACATATACCGACTGGTAGAGGGCTCAGTGGATTACTTTTCCAAATTTGCTCAAACGCATTCAGTACTGATATTATTATGTTAAATCCTATCCAGATGTCATGATGAGGATTGTATATCAGAAACATTGTTGGATTCTTGTCTTGGGTATCTCGATATTACCTTCATTACAAGATTAACTGTTATACATGAAACGGCGACATGTGGGAAATCTTGATCAATCACTGGATTCTGAACACACCGTGACCGAACAATTTGCAATTTCTACCAGTTGCATAACTTTGATCTTGCAGTGCATCTGGGCTGTCAAAATCTGCGATTATGGAGTTTATGGTAAGTTTACCTAAGCTCACCTATTTGTGAAGCCCTAAATACAGAACAGA